CTTAAAAAGTGGAAAGACAAATTCGCAAGCTGACTTGATAAATACGTTTCTTCTGAAAGCTCTCAAAGTCCTGCCACAGCTACTTAAGTCTGCAGGACTCAAGCACCATTTTATGAATGGTACTATGGGCCAATGCTTTGTCTTGAAAATTACAAGCAAATAACAAGCGTACTATGTCTAGATGCTTTCACATTTGCAATGCGAGAAGAGCTTCCTGGTAACTTTTACCCTTTGGTGGTGGTTGTGGCGCTAGATCCTTCTCTTCCAAGGAGGCAGGGCCAGCACTGCCTAGTAGGCAGCCGATCTCCTGCCATCATCAAGGAAAGCAAATTGGAAGCTACAAGAGACCCTGACACTAACTGCGGCATCTTTTTGTGCGGCACCCCACGTGAAGTGATGCAGATAGTGTGGTGTAATTGGGCTAGGAATTAACATCCCTTTGCAATCAGCAGAACAGTTAACTTTTCAGCAGTTTGAGGGGGGGGAGTGTTGTGTGTGCAAATTCAAACAGACGCTACTGCATTGGTTATACACAGGTCATAGTCCAAAGCTTCTTAAATATGATGATTAGAAACTGCAATTTACAAATACAGAAATTTTCATGTCATCATGAAATTATGATAGCCGTAACCTAGAATACTCCAACTAGTAATTCTTTCCTAATTTTCCAGTTTTAAATGAATGTGGCAGATCAGGTTCTATTAGAAGGCAAAACAAGTGGAGCATGTCGCTAGTAAGCTTGTTCATGAAGTCTTTAAAATCTTTGTTAAGTTTGGAGACAACATGATATACAATACACACAGCTGATGTGCAGATTTTGAGTCTTTTAAACAGTTTTCATTAACACAGCCTTACCAACAGCTGTTTTATACAGCAGTATACAATCTATGAAGTATGGTATGACATTCCTGCCTGCCTTTGGGTACATAGCTCTAGACATCGCTTTGCTTTTTTAAGCTCTTGCTGCTGCAGTATAACCCTAGATCATAGTGCCAGAAGCAATTCATGCCTTAGTTTCCCTTTTCTTGGCAGCACTTTCCAGACTTATTACCACTAACTGCTCATTACAGGTCACCATTAATCCCATATAGTCACATTATCAGAAACGCTGTGTTAATTTTTATGAAATAAATGCACTCGGAATCACAGATACCACAGACAACACTACACTAAACAATGAAGTTTCTTCCAGGATTTTGATTAGCAAGAGTGAGGTTTCCGTAGCATGATAGTAACCTCCTCAAGCAGACACTTCCCTTCAAGTTAACAGAGTCAGCAAGTAAAGTCTCTTACACATGCAAGCACACTTCAACAGCTCAGCTTGCAAACACAGCTGTGCAAGTCTCAGGGAACTTGTTCCATGTTAATCTAGCTCCAGAGCTACTTAGAGAATACCACACAACGTAAAACAGCAAAGCTGAAAATTTCAGAGTCCAGGCAGATAATCTGTTCTGCCTTCCCCATCCAGCCCGAGCCTCATGAGTCCACATCTCAGTCTTAACCTTGAGTCATCCACCAAAACAATTCATACCGTGCTACCTAATGCATGACTAAAGCCCAGGTAGGAAACTAGACCTTTCTCACCTTCTACAGCAGTGATGATACGATGGGAGCTGTCAAATGAGCTGCAACCTCTGGGACTGATGCTGAAGAACTTCCCATGCTCAAGGCTTGCAGAACCTCGGCTGTAAAAGTATTCTCAGGATGAGATTAATGTGTTAGCACATGCAAGGAGACTTCACCTTCTATCACAAACTTCAGAACAGCTTTTGTGCTTGCTTTGAGCTAGCGGTCAGTAACAATGAGGAGTAGAAATGGTCAATGAAACGGAAGGATCACTGGTAACTCTGTATTTGAAAATAATACTTGGAATGCAATGTGAATTACTGTATTACTTGAACTTCACTTTGCCTTGTCAATTTTCGTGCAGCAGTATTAGTAAGCAAACTGCTCATTTCTAAGACAAGCAAGACCTATTTACTCCTGTAGTACAGCAAGCAAATGATAAAGCTCTGAGTTTTTAATACAATCTACAAAATTAGTGTTTTTCTGTTACTTTAGATTTAAATTTGGTCTATATTTAAATTTAAAATAGAGGTATATATTTCCCTATAAAAGGCGGCTGATAGGTATTTGGTATTGGAGTTCCTTGTCAGACTAACACAGTTTTTATAGGTTAGGTCCTGAAGGAAAAAATGCGTCCTTGCATAAAGGAATGCACCACTTAAAGCTTTAGGTAGAGCTTTAATAGTCTATACAGCTTAGTGCAATCCATTAGTTTGAGTAAATTTTAACTAAGGTGATTAGTAACTCAGTAATAATGAATTAGGAAGAAAAAAGTTTGGTTTTTTTAGTTTCTTAGGGCAAAGGAAATGAAACTGAGTAAGGTGAAACTTAAAATACTGAAAACTCCAATTTCATTTCCAGATTGGACTTCAGTACAACTTATAAATTGTACAGCCTTACACAGTGCTTCCCAGCTCAGATTTGTACTGCAGCATCTTCCAGATTTGCCACCTCTCTGCCAGTGAGTAAATCACTGTAAAAATACTTTGCTTTTTCGTGTTACACTCTTGCTGTTGCAGTAATATATGCTAGATCACAGTGCCAGGAGCAAATTCCTACCTTAGTTTTGCTTTCTTTGGCAGAGCAATAGCAGCTTTGTCCAGGGTTTTCACCACTTCTAACTGCTGATTATAGATGAGCACTGGCTTCATCTACCAAGATATCAGAAACGTTCTGTTAAAATGAAATTGATGAAAGAAATGCACTTAGAAAGGCATCAACATGACCTGCCACTGTACAACACTAAACTATGAAGTTTCTTTCTGGATTTTAATTAGCAAGACGATGGTTTCCACAGGGAGTTAGCAAATGCTTTAGAAGAGTCATGTAAAAACCTGGAAGTAAAGAAAAGACAGGCAAGAATAACCATTATGAAGGCTTCTGGAATTGAAACTGAGTGATTATGCAAGCTAAACTTAGGAAAATCTCTTATTTAAAGAGCAAGTATTACTTAGAGTCTGTAGAAGGCTACATAAGCCTTCTTTGGGGAAGGAAGAAGGAACAGGTAAAATTAATTCTGAGTTAATCATTATGAATGAGGCCACTTTCCTGGTTTTGATCAAACAGGTAAGAGAGGATTTTACTTGTTTTTTTCTCTCTCTAGTCTCTCAAGAGGCAAAGCGGCTAATCAGCTACAGAAGGTCAGCTGTAATTGCTGTCCTGGATTTTGGGTCACTTCCCTGATGTAGGACACTTGTGACTTGTCTCGTCAGGTTCATCTACATCCTATATCCCTTTCATATGCTGGGTCATCCCGCTTTTTTACTGCGCCCTTTAAATCCTACTTTCTAATCTAACCCTAGTGTGATCTTTGGATTTGATCTTTGATTGATAGATCTTCTTTGAAATAATCTAGCCCCGACTCCTGTTTGTTACAGCATCTTACTTTTAGTTACAATAGTTGATGCGTATGCCCCAATAACTACAAAACAATTACACCGATTTCCTTAAACAGCCGTTCACTTACGAGGGGGGTGGGAACTATCTCAGGTCTTGTTTCATTCCCTCCACTGTTAACAAAGCTATCTTGGGAACCATGAGTTGATCAAGAGCCAATGCTGAAGGCTGAGGTAAAATAAAAGACTCCCGCCATTTATGACTTGTTTATTCATCCCTGGCTTTCTCCACAGCTGAAGTATTTTGTCACTTCACAAGGGCTGCAGTCGAGGTCGCCCAAGGACCCAGTGACTCCGACACCCCTGACACCAGCTCGGCTCACTCTGGTATTACGGCGGGTCGCATTTTCAGCACCCGAAAAACACAGGCAGCGGCGGGTCCCACGAACGACTCCGGGGCCCCAGGG